TACCCGTGCCTGGTACCCTTCCGCTGTTGGGACCACGAGGATTCAAAACACCTGCTAGCTTTGCTCGTGCTAGTAGCGTGTTCTTATTTTACTGGTTGGCCTATATAAGTAGTTTACAAGGTCCAGTTTGTCCCGGTGCAAGGGCAGAACTGGGGTCTTCAGGTCCGCCCGAACGATCGTTTACTATCCTAGTAGACGTATTGTTGTGGGAACGTCCTAACTACATTTGTAGCTAGAGTTCACGTGGAAATTCCAACACCACACTTCAGCCGTATTGGCTTCGGGTGAGGCGGATTGGCTTCCGCCACCGGAGCCTGCAGGCTCTCCCACACATGCGCGATGAGCCCTTGCTCGTACGCATCAAACACATTGACGCGCTCGAGCTGCTCAGCCGGTGTTGACGCCACCAGGCTCTGCAGGGCCTCCATCCCGAAGATGCCTGCCGTCTTCCGAACCGACTCGAACTGAGAGTCGTTCATATGGGAGAAGTCGTTCCTGTCCATGGCAACGAACTTCGGAGAGGTTCAGGTAGTCTACCCGCGGTGGCGTGGATTGACTACTAGTGCTACCAAGTGTGACGGGGTCACACAGCACCTTGCGCTTGAGAAAGTTAGCTTCCGAGAGTATACAAACTCTCAGTGAACGGCAGTTCACAGGTCCCCTTTTTATTCAAAAGAGAGCGAAGTGACCTAATTAAGGTAGAATGTAAACTGAGTATATTTATAGGTAGATAAAGCTTGGGTTTAATACGAACTATAAGTCACCTATAGAAATGCAATATCATTAACCAATGGTTGGCTTTGGCAAATATCCCGAAGTATAACGTGTCATACTTCCGAAGTGTGACGTGTCACACTTCATGTAACCAGGGTACTCTTAGGGCTACGTACCCCGTTACAACCACAGAGTACTGGTGCTTGCTGCCTCTCACTCGTTGTGTGCGCAGCACAGCAAAAGCAGTTGTGTGAGTGAGAGCTGCCAGCACCTGAACCTTCATGTTCCGCAAAGTTAAATTAGCACATACTCAACCTAAGATAGTCTATAGAAAGCTAAGTATTTCACCATGACCTGCAACGCAGTTGCACTTGCTCACCGCCACCAATGTCGTCCTTCATACAGTCCTTGGTATCTTCCGCACGCAGCTCGCACGTGAGCGTGTTGCAGACCGGTACGCCGGGATGCAGTACATGCATAGACACGCGTAGGATTGTAGGTTGGATCGGTAGTACTGGTATTGCCAGTGTCTTGGGCTGTGGCAATGACGCCTGGCACTGGACACTGGCAGACGGTAGCAAGTAGCATCTCACAGTATGACCGTAGACCGCTTATTCGTTCGCTACCAGAGTTTCGCTAGCACGGGATCTCAAGAACGACTTCATACAGTCTGCTCTAAGTGCAACTGGATCGTCGTTTATGGGCACTTAAGCTCTGGTTCACCTTTCGTCTTTTTGGAGCTACTAGGCTTCGTGCGTATTCATCAGTTACCTTGGCCAAGCAACATGGGGGTCTCGTTTTATGCGTGACTTGATGGTCGTGCATTTATTAAATAACAAGGTGTTCCTTATCCACTCTGTTGTAGTGAACGTGCTCTCCAAGGGGCTTATTGAAGTAATTGGCGACAACCCAAAGTGAAAGGCTCCTGCCCAAGAGCTTCAACGTGAAACCTTTACGCCGGCACCGTAATGGTGGTGATGGATAAAAAAAATTACGGGATCAGGTGATCCCGTAGTTTTTTGCTATTGTGCGTGCTACAGTAACTGACACGATGCTATTTCAGACTTACGCGCCTTTTGAACAAAGTTTGCGTGTCATAATGGGGGAGCTCCGCCGAGACCGCAAGTGGAGTATGCAGGTCACAGCACTTTACGACTACGAACCTGAACGTATTCGATTGCCATTTCCGTTCCAATGCCATGCTCAAATGTTAATATATTGACTGACACTGGATGTGTTATGTTTCTTTATTGGACGTGTAGAATCTGACGAGTTGAGATTCATAGAAGGTGACGTTTTGAGAGTGCTGCAAGTACAGGATGACGGATGGTGGTCTGGATACAACGTGGAAAGTCCCAATGTCATTGGTATCTTCCCATCGAACTACGTGCAAGCATTAAGGACTGTTTTTAAGATGCAGAGTGCCAAAAGCTTAGTTGATGCAGGCAGAACACCACGGCCTCCTGCGAGCTCACGGCAGCGAATTGAGCTACAGTTTCGACAAGGGTTTGCCACCTCAGAGATCGAAGATGGTGACGAAGACGACAAGGTGGAAGAAACGCGCACTGATAACCGCGGAGCTATTCTTCTGTTGCGGCAAAATCTGGAGCAGGCCGAGAGAGCAAGCCAAGCGGTGCGAGATGCTCGGCGGCAGGTTTGTTTAGTTGTCGTGCTCCTTTGATGAATCTCCAGTGGTCAATTACGATCGTGTGCAGGCAGAGCGAGAAAGACGGAGGCATCGAAAATGCTGGAGGGAACGTGGACATGACGAAGACACCGACGAGGAGGAACATTTGGGCCAACATGCAGTTGATGTGAATTACAATGGAAATGAGGATGATACTGAAGACGAAGAGGAGGCCGCTCCACAGCTACAGGGCGATATGCATGAGACCAAATGCCAAGAGGCTGACGAGGGTCAAGTTGACAAAATATCCGATACTATTGAGAAGAAGGGGAGAGTGCAGACAGGTGAAGAATTCGCCACAAAAAGACCAGACGCAGAGACCACAGCTGCTAACGTGATCACCAGAGCGTATCGAAGACATGCTGCCGTCATTCAGAACAACTGCGAGCGTGCCAGGGATTGGGATCAGCGAAAACTCAGCATGACCGCTTCGGCTCGCATTCAGAGGTGGGTAGCACGTGCGTATTCAAGACAGCGTACCAGTAAGAGAAAAACAGCCCTTCGACGAGAAAAGGATGCGGCAACTACTATTCAAAAATGGGCTCGCTTGCGATGGGCATACCTCTGGTGCAGACGCGTGCAAATTGAGCGAGCGAAGAGAGAAGTCCAACAAGCCCGAGAGAGGATAAAAATGCAGCAACTCCGGCGAGAAGCTGGAAACGAATGTCGACAGCTTATGCAAAGATCCAAGCAAGAGGAAGAGCAACGTCGGAATATGCAACAAAGTCTTGACAATGAGCAAGAACAATGGCGACTGAATGCTGTCAAGGAAGAAGTACACTGTCGCTTTATTGAGGCGGAAATGCAGAATGAGGAAAGTGTTATACCTTCTCGTGCCCCTTCATCCAGCAAAAGCCGTCGAAAGGTGATGAAGAAAGAGGCAGTGGACTTGATTAAGAAACTGGTCCAGCAGCAGCTTGAAGAGACTCTACGTGACCACGATGCCAAGATGGACGAGCTTCAACGAATGGTTTCAAGGCTGCAAACGGTGGTGCGAAAGCAAACGGCCATGCTCGAAGACTCCACATACCAACTAATGAATCTACAAGTGAAGCAACATCAACAGAAAATGCCAATGGTACCAAGGTTCAGCGAGGCAGGGGGGTGCGCCATTCTCCCAAGGATCACAGGACAAGTTCCACGTCAGCCTCTTGGCACATCGGGTCTGCGTGCCCCGCGGCCTGTGATGCTGTCGAAATGGCCAGTATTAGGAAAAAGTGGACGGAGGCCTAGTTACAATCAGTTGAAAAATACAAAAGTTTAATGCCACCTCGCTTGGATTACAACTGATACGATTGTAAATGCTTCCCACGGCATTATTCTAGGTATGATACATGTAGCGTAAGCCTTACGCCGTAAGCTACCTATTAGGAAGCAACGAAGATTATTTGAGAAATCGAAGCTAAATGATCCATAGCAATAAAACCTATTTTACAAGTTAGCAGATGTACTCGTTGCAGCCGTTTGAATTTTTGTTGAGTTCGATTTTTCTTTTATTGGCAACTCTAGAGTGAAATTTTGCTTAAAAAAGCGGATTAAGTTCTTTCAAATCCTATACATCCTAGGAGTCGTGGGATCAGTATTTCGTACTTAAGTGGATTTTCTTTTAAGGTACCGTATTCCTTATGTGATTGGCGACAGTCAAATTCTTGAGGTGGTCCAGCCTTTCTGCCAGCATAAAAGATACCTGCATAAAAAAAAACTATATAACATGCTCAAAATTATATTGGTCGCCAAGCACATAAAGCGCGACGACACGAAATTTGAATCAATTTGATTGGCTGCTGGATTTGTCGCTAATGACCGAGCGTCGCCAATCACATACGGAATACGGTAAGTCAAAAACTGATTTGCGCTATTGCCGTTCATTCAAAGGACCGCGCTCGGAAATTTTGAGTACACGCACAATGTAATGAATAACCCAAGACCGACATGGGTGGGTGGGTAACCCCGTTCCTAATCCCAGCCCACAAACCGTCGATCGGGCAAAAAGTACCTCTCTAAATATAGAAAAAGACGCGAGTCACGTTCCAAATGCCAGTTCGACGTAGTTTAGGTACTTAGTAGTGTCATGGTGACATCGCGGTGGATGCACGCGCGGGTGTGGTGTGGAGCTCTACCTTCGTACCATTTACTGCCCCAAGACGAGGCGGAACTGGAGGTGTGCCGATTGGCTTTGCTGATAGGGCCTTCAAAGTTTCTTTTATTTGTTCTAACGCTTGCGGCTTTGATCTTAGAAACGAATTAGCAAAGTCTACTTCAATTCTTTCAGGTTTGCGGATCTCCGGATACAGGTGCAAACTGCATAAGCCTCAAAACCTTCAGCACTAAAATCTGATGTTGCGTTCGTGTGTCGTCGACTCAAAATGAAAGAGTTACCGCAGCCGCCTCTATCTGCGAATCATGCGGTGTATTGGAACATTCTAGAGCTTTTTGAAGAGTATCTTCCTCTTCTACTTTCCATTCAACGCTACCATGTGGCAAGACATCCCAACAGCTCACCATCTCCGTTTCTTGTCTCTATTTATCCGCCATTATTTTATGGTCTTGGCGAACTCGATCTCTTCACCGATGGCTTAGTTGGAAAACAACAGCAAATTCAGTTTAGTATCGCAGTTGAATTAGTGCTCGTTCTCTGCTCACTGGGTCAACTGCACGCTTTACATGCCGAGACTCAGATCGTCCAGGGAGGAGAAACGCTAACAACAACGAGTTGGCCCAGACTGCAACACGCTGAGTTGTCGTGGCAGAGTGCAGAAAGCTTTTATCGCTGGGCAGCATCGTACTCGAAGCAGAATAGGGACCATTTTGACTCTAATGACTCACAGTCAGGATCAAACTGGAAATTCTTCCAGGTCGTGGCGATTACTGCCGCTTCTCTGGCACGAATGTGCTCAAGTCACCGACTGTCTACTCATTTGTCTGGTGTACGCTCAAAGTGATACATTTAGCTGCGATCTGACACTTGATTTTTTTTTCTTCTAACGTTCTTATGTTGTATTGCACTAGTTGGCGCTTACGGATATTCGACCTGAACAACTGTTTCGAATCGGATCTGTCTTTGCTCGACGGGCTCTTACTCTTATTCGTGAGATGAAATCTAAGCAGCTTGGCCGAATAGATAACAGGTGAATGCTACCATTGAGAAATGGCCTGGGGAGCTGATGATATCGAATAATTACGCCTCGCTTTCAGGTTTTCTCAGCAGGTGAAATGGTGTCTAAGCGCTTATGAGGTTCGATGGATGACAATTCACAACCAGTGTGAACTAGAAGTTTATCGGCTGCATGCAAACCCTGGTGCGTTATGTGAGAGGCTCACATTATCTGTCAGCTCCGTACTCACTTAGCTTTCGTGGAATTAACAGAGATAGCGATCTATTACTGTGAGCACCTACTTAAGCTGCGAATGCCACCTATATCATCGATATCGTCCCAGCAGCAGGAGGTATCTTTTACCCACTTTGCCCATGAGATTCAGCTAAAGCATCAGATTCATCTCACTGAAGCTCTAGATGAAAAGAAAAGGTTATTAGGCGGCTGTCGATCTCGATTCTGAACGATGGGGTCATTTGCAGCGGTTGGCAAGTGCTTGGATGCTAAGCTGTTAAGTATCCAAGAAATGGGCCCAGTATTTAATCAAGAACAGCGATTTTTCGATACTATTGTTGAGGAAGAAGAGAGTAACTACGTGTCTCCTTTTCTCGTCGAAGTAATCGCTACGAACGCAGGGATGCCGAAAAATAAATTGGTGCTGCAATTATTGCAATAAGAAAGCACCAATTATCTATTGGAGACTTTCTGGAGAGGAAGATCAATTATTTATTTTCGCTCCCGTTGTAGCACCAATAATCTATTGGGCGGTGTTTAATTGGCCATACATTCTTTGATACTGGTGCCCTCGCTGTGTACCAATTTTGCTGCACCAATAATCTATTTTTTGATCTGAGGAAGTTCAATAATCTATTTTGGTCTAGTCAGCTCTCTAACCCAATTATTTATTTTCTGCTTTGATTAGCAATAGATAAAAATGCAATATTCGGCATCCCTGATCGACGTTCGTAACGAACGTCGATCAGGCAATTTTGTGTGCAAAGTTTGATGCTCCAGCGTCAGATTTGTTAAACGGATATGGAAATAAAGCATCCAACAAGCCTCTAGAGCGAGGAACGAAGCCCACCACCCAACAGCTCCATGGAGCGTCGTATGGTCACAGCAGAGACAGGAATCAAGACAAAGTCTCTTACACGAGCGAAATCCGCAACAACCGTATCGACTGCTGAACAAATGAAAACTCATCCATCAAGTGCAACACCTCAAGGCTGTGGCTGGGTGACGATGAGCTATGGAAGCAAGTTACTACACTTTGAAAAGGCAATGGATCCTCCAGCAGCAGGAAACCAACGAGATATTGATTTAGCTCTGTGCAGACACCTGGATTACACCACTCGGCGGTCTAGACCGCGACCTTCATCATCGCCTAGCTATTTGCCTTCCAGGAAGACCACCAAGCCACTTGATCGTAGCGAGTCGAGTTCATCCGACCATTCAAAAAAGTGGCGAGCACCTTGTGCTCTCTGCGAGCGAAGATTCACGCGCTCCAGTCTGTCTGGGGTAGTCGTCATGAAGCGGGTTTACGATATCCGTCGCAGATGGGGGTCCTTCAAAACTCCAACAAGACTAATAATCCCTCAGTCTTATACGGAGCAGCAAACGTTTGTCTCCAGTGCCAAGAAATCTTGGCACAAGATGAAAACAGACAGGTCATAAAAACGCCAGAAGACAAAACAATAGTATTCGATGATAGCAATGAAGAAGACAAAGACGCGGAAATCACTCGGATGATCCACAATTTCATATTCTACCGCTGGCACCAACAGCTACCAGTGCGCAGTATTACCGACAGCAGCCTGGCGGATATCGCTATCAACAAACGCGTTCGTCAATCTTCCACTATCTGCAGTATGAAAGCACAGAACGCGTTGGACCCCGACACGAACCGTTCTGCTCATACAAAGGAGGAATTCCAGCCGTGGTGGGAGATCGACCTCGCCAATTACGTCGAAGTTCATTCTGTCAATGTTTATGTTCGAGACGAGGTGAGTCATTTAGCCAGAGGAAACCCTAGTCGACGAACTACTAGGTCTTATCCTCTGCACATTTGTATCTCGATGAAAAGTGGAGTAGGTCGCAACTGTGACGATATCGTCGCAGGTCTGTGAGTTCCCTGTGTGTCCCCGACAATATTGGACCATTGATCGAGTTTATCGCCCCACAAAAGTCTCGAGGCAGATTTGTTCGCGTCCAGTGTCAAGGTCGCGCCATTTTGCACATTGAACGCGTTAACGTGTACGTGGCTAATTCCCCCTTGACCGACCCAGTAAAGAGACGACAGCATTTTCGACAGAAGCTTCAGCGTGCTGCTTTTTGTGCATCTGTACTCGCTACTACAGCAGCTCCAATTACTGGATCAGATGGGGTTGTCACCACTGCGGGGCCATCTCCAAAGCCAGCGTCGGATCATGGTAACTCAAGACGCAGAAGCAGTCAAACTGTGGGCAAGACTCAACGCGAGCCTCCGTTGGCAGCAACTTTGTTTTTCGACCCAAAGCGAGCGGAGAAGAAGCGCATCTCCAAACTGTACGCTAAATTCAAAGGTTTGCTAGATGCGCGAGCGAAGTACATCGCGCCCGATAGGACTTCAGATGAGAATGTGACTGAAGGGGGGGGGCAACAAGTGATTGCGAGTGGATAACATTACTTTTATCTAGACTTGAAGCTATATTTTTACCTTGTTACGTAATTATTTATAGTAAACTGCTTGCTAAGTAGGATATCGAGTTTCTGCTCGAATGCGGCTAGTTGTCGAGCCATTTGCTGGACACCTGCGTTTCTCAATTCTGGATCTACCTCGTCATTGTCTTTGTTTCGTTCATCATCGTCCTGAGAGTCTGTGTCGCTGTAAGGTACAACAAACTCATCCAATATATGCTGAAGCATAGCTCGAGCTTCACCTTCTTGAATACCCACATTTCCCTGAGCATTCGCGGTGTCAATTTCATCGCTTCCGTGTGCTCGAGTATTGCGCGCAGCCCACGTTCAAGCAGACAAGGCCGAATTCTTCCTCGAAAACCCACATCGGCGATCCAACTTAGCATAATTGAGCGGAGAGGGTATAATGGTCTCACCGATCTCTGGTACGGTCCTAGCAGAAACATTTCGTTTATTTTTTCGACTTTTGCATCGTACGAGATCGTTCATCTATAATAAAAAGGCCCACGCTGTGACGACTGGTGAGAGCACGGCGCAGAGGAACAGCGACGAGGAACGAGTCGCGTGGCGAGGAGCGAAGCGGAGGAGGGCGGCGAGAGTCCAACGATGGGGGCTCGAAGGTAAGGCGTAGGAGGCAGTTGATGTGCCTCGAAGAAGGTAAATTGGAAAGTCAGATTGAAATGGTTAGTTGTTTGTCGGCTACGAGGAAGTGCTTGTTGGCATTCCCTTGGTATCCTATGTAAGTATATGCATTTCACTATACTAGATTCTAAGTAGTCCTTGAGTCGAATCTTGAAGTAGCGTAGCGTAGTAGTGAACCGCGGTTCATTTGAACCGGGTCAGAATCTCCATAGTGAATTCAAATGAAAAATAATGACTGTCATTGAAGTTCCATGTTTGGCAATACTCGTCCAAACATGGTGATTGCCTTTTGGTCAGACGTGTGTCTGCCTGGCCGCTCATTGGCAACTTAAGAAGACAGTTGGCAGTCAGCAAAGACAAGTAGGAAGAAAATAGAAGAAAGTAGGACGCATTGGTACCAACGTCATGGCCATCGCTGGCTGTGACGTTGGTGCGTCGTTACGTCCTCCCGGACTTGACTGTCGTTGACGCTTGTTGAAGTCGGAAACGAGAACCTTCCAATGCGACACATGGCAGATGTCTTTTTCGCGCTCCCAGGTTGCTTCGTGATCTGGCAATCCGTGCCATTTCACAAGCCATTCAGGTTTGCGATTGAATTGACGCTTGCGAAGAAGCTTCTCAATGATGTGCATCGTTGCGCCAGTGTCGTCGTCAATAATCAGTCTTGAGGCCTTTGATATAAGGACGAGTCTTAAAACGCGACGGGTTTTCAACGTAATGACTCAACACGTCCACATTGAACGTGGAGTTCAGACGACTCATGCTTCGCGGAAGATTCAACTTGGCCACATTCGGGTTGATCATTTTCACAATCTCGAATGGTCCAATCTTGCGAGCAGCGAGCTTAGCTCGTTTCCCATCAATGTCTTGAGTCACATGGGCGGAAGGAATGCGGCGTGTATCCAGCATGACTAAGTCTCCTTCCTTGAACGTGATCGATGGTCGCTTCTTGTCATAGTATTTCTTCTGACGTTCTTGGGCTTGAAGAAGATGCTTCTTTGCCAAATCAATGATCTCTTGGCGTTTGTCTTGGAACTGTTTCGCATATTCAACAATTCCACGCTGAATTTGAGTCATGGTACTGGGATTGCTCAAAGGATTCAACGGATTCCGTTCCTTGCGTCCAGTATCAACTTCAAAGGGCGACATACCGGTAGATGCGCTGACGAGAGTAGCATGATCATACTCAATCGTTCCGAGATTATCCGACCAATCACGTCCGTGGTACGATATCATGCAGCGTAGAGCGTCTTCCAGAATCAGATTCTGGCGTTCGGTTTGTCCATCGGCTTGGGCACGATAGGAAGTTGTCATGTGCAGACGAATTCCCATTAGCTTAGCCAAGGATGACCAGAACTTGGAGACGAACTTGGAATCTCGATCGCTGATGATGATCGATGGTAAACCGTGATGGCGAACAACGCAATCAAAGAAGTGATACGCAGTCTTCTGTGCATCATCAGTCCGGTTGCACGCACGATACTTCGGGCGCTTGGACAACTTGTCGACAACAGTCAAGATTGCATCAAAACCATTGGAATCAGGTGATCCAGTGATAAAGTCCATAGAGACGACAGACCAGCATTTCTCAGGAATCGGAATGGGAATCATCTTGCCATTCTTGCGAGCATTGCTGTGTTTCCAGCGAGTGCAAGTTTCACAACTTTGCACATAATCGCGAACGTCTTGGTCCAAGGTGGGCCAATGATACCATTGCGAAATGCGAAGGTATGTTCGATGAGCTCCAGGATGAGCAGCAATATTGGAGTCATGGAAGCAAGAGATGATGGAAGATCGAAGGTGATTGTCCCAAGTAAACGGAACACACAAGCGCATCATCGTCTGATACTTGCGGAAAAGTAAACCATTTTGTTTGACAAATGGTTGTTCCGGATGCTTAAAACGATCTCCGTAGTCTGGGCAATTGCGATATCCAGCAGCGAACTCTCTGCTAATCGAATCAGACCAACCGAGCGACCTCCAATTTTGAGCTTGTTGGTTCACATTGGTGGCCACAGCAATATTCTCAGCCGCAGCGACGGTACGTGAAGTTTCCACTGGTACATGTCGGTAAGCTTGAGCTAAGGTCGGAACAGGGCGCGTGTAGTAACCAGCAGCAACATTCTCCCCACGAAATTGAAAGCGAGAGGGTGGTCGAACCAAATGTTGGTTAAGACTGCCGTAGTCGGTAATAACGCGTCGATTCGTCAGGTTTCGAGCTGCACGGGTATGGCAGCGCGTGGTACACTGATGAAACGAAACCGTATTGATCGCATGCTCTGAAGATTGACGCGACAACGCATCGGCAACCACATTGAGGTGTCCCTTAACGTGATGCAACTTGAACGTATACTGTGCGAAAAACGTCAAATAGCGAGCTAATTTCGCTGAAACCTTCGGGTGGTGCAAAAACCATTTGCAAGCAGTGTTGTCCGTGTAGATATCAAATTCACGACCATATAGGTAGTGACGCCACTTGTCTAACGCTAATTTAATAGCGAAGAGTTCTTTCTCGTGTGTTGGCCAATTAATCTCGTGAGGACCAAGTTTCTTTGAGAAGAAGGCTATCGGATGATCTTGACCGAAACGAACTTGAGAGATAACGCCACCAACACAGTAGCCAGAGGCATCTGTTGTCACGATGAAACGTTTCTCAGAATCCGGTAACTGCAACACGGGTGCTTCTTGAAGAGCGGATTTGATTTCCTCAAACGAACGCGTCTGTTCTGGACCCCAGCTCCTTACATGTTCTATCTTGACAAGAGAACCAAGAGGCAACGCAATAATGGCGTAATCACGGATAAAGCGACGGTAATAACCTGCGAGACCCAAAAAGCTTTGTAGTTGCTTTTGGTTTAGTGGCGTAGGCCACTTTGCAATCGCTTCAGTCTTGCGAGTATCAACAGCAAGTCCTTTAGCAGAAATCGTATGGCCGAGAAACTTAACTTTGGACTGGCCAAAGTGACACTTCGAGAGATGACAGAACAAATTCTCATGACGTAGAACCTCGAAGAGAGTTTGAAGATGCTCAACATGCTCTTCCAGACTGGTGGAAAAGACACAAATGTCATCCAAGTAGACAACAATGAATCGGTACTTCGCAAAGAGTACCCTCATGAGGCGAGACCAAACACCAGACATATCGGTTAATCCCATAGGAGCTACACACCACTGGTAAGTTTCAGCGTGCGTGTGAAAGGCGGTATACTTGCGACTCTTGAGCGCTATACGCATCTGGTGATATCCTTGAGCAAAATCTAGAACTGAAAAGATGACACAACCAGACATCTGATCGGAGAGTTCGTCGATGCGAGGCAGTGGAATCTTTGGAACAATCGACTGCGAGTTCACATAGCGATAGTCGATGACCCAACGGATAGGCAAAGTCGAGTTTCCAGAGCGTACCCACTCAGAGCGAGACAGCTGATGTCCAGAAGTAGGATCTTTCTTTGGAATCCCAAAGATGTTGGACACCCAAGGAGAATCAGAAACTTCGATCCATCCTTTCTTCAGCTTCTCTGCACGAAGAGATCCAGCATCCTGCTCAACCTTAGACAGGCGGAACGGAGCACGGCTACTTTGAACAGCATCAGGTTTCATGTGGAGTTCGAAATCCACACGACGTGAAGGCGGTAAACCATCCGGTAAAGTTTCCGGAAAGACGTCAGTAAAACGCTTCAATAAGTGAGTGATCGGAACAGGATTCGACTCACTAACTGGCATGACCGCACAAATTTTGACACGGTACACTTCCTTGTACACATGTTTCTTCACGTTACGTGTAAAGTCAACAGCAGCAATCTCCACAGCTGCTTGACTAGCAACCGTTGATGGAGGTGTACAAGACACACTTGGAAACGAAATTTCATGCGAACGCCAATTGATACGTGGCTGAAACTTGGTAAACCAAGGTTTTCCCAAGA